ATAGACATAATTTCAAGAACTCCAGATGCAATGAAACAAGCAATAACTAGCGGTAATGAGCAGTATTATTCAATTCATCCTGAAAATAATATATTTTGGAACTTAAAATATGAAATTTTAAATTATTATTTTATTATATCATATTATATTATATTGTTTCGAAATAATGTTCAGATGTCATTTTGAAACAATACAGTAATAATAAAAATATATTATAAATTATAAAAAAATTTAGAGGCTTCAATATATATGAAACCATTATATCTGATCAAATGCACACCTTGGATCTCAGCCTCTTTAAGTACATGCTAAATTTTACAAAAGAGCTTTTATCTGACCAATATAGGAGCCAGATGCTTCAAATCTTTGAACAGCAATTAACTTTAATTTCTCAATATTATAGTTTTAAAATAATGAAGAACATATCAGACATAATATGCATAACAGCTGATAAATTACAAAATTTAATGAAACTAATAATTTTTGCTCTTGATAATCTATATAAGGATTATAGAAGACCAGGAATTAGTAATAAATAGTTATGCCAAGTTTATTACAAATTCTTTTAAATGTATATGACTATCTGTAAAAAATTATTTACTTATGATTTTTATAATCAGCTTCAGATACAGAACAAGTTGTTATTTTTTGTAAACCTTTAATTACTAACAATTAAATTCATAGATCCTTATTATAGATTAGGCCAAGGAATTTATTAAAGTATTTTTTCAAAATATTCTAGCCTTCAATTTCCTAAGCTTTATGCTTGGTGCTATTATATAGTATCTGCAATTTAAGAATATAGATTCATAAATAGTATGACTATGGAAACTTATGAGACTCTTCATAAGAGTTATATAAAAAGACCTTATCGCATGTCAATTAAAAAAGGCTATATAAAACAAATATTTAGAACAATAAGTAATATATAGTAATATATAGTAAATAATCATTATCTATTATTATCTATTGTTAAATACTGGTTAAAAAAAATTATATTTTAATTAAATAATATCTTGTAATATATAGCACAAGTCATAATTTAATCATTCGATAATATATTATCTAGCAATTAAGTTATAACTTGTGATATATATTACAAGATATTATTTAGTTGAAATGTAATTTTTTTTTAATCAGTAAATAAATATTATTAGGTTATATGACAAAAATTAACTAAAAAAGAAGTACAAAAGAAATATTATCAAACAAAAGGGTTTGGAAAACTTTTGTGAACATTAAGTTTAGAGGATCTGGATGATTTTCTTGAAAAAAATAAAAATAATCTTGACTTACTACAAGTTGAAGGCTTTCAAAACCTATTATCTGCTCTCAATGAATTTTTTAAAGAAGAACCAATTTTGACTTTTAATGATTTTAATCAGATAGAAATGTTTTTCTCAGCTTTATTAGAAAGTACTAATATAATTCATGCCACATCAAGTTTTTATAATAAATTTATATTTTCTAACATTATCATAAGTGATTATAAAAATAAAAAAAAAATAAATTAGTATGGCTTGGTATATATTTAACATCTATCTAATGATAAAAAAATGTTAATATCGATAAGCAAAATAACTTTCAAAGTTAGACAATTTTTTTATTTTTATCCAATATTGAGAGTAAATTATAACTAATATAAATATTATTATAAAGGTTCTTCTGATACTTAAATTTTATAAAGCAAATGAAGAACTACTAGAATTTATCTTAGTTCACTGATATAAGAAAGTTGGCGAATTATAAGGCTTTCCTAAATTGAAGCTATTTGTGTATTACAGTTGTATACTATTAGATAGTATAAATAGAACAGTGCATATAATCCTGAGATTTAATAAAACAAATGAATATTTAATGAACTGTTTTATGTTCTAATGCTAAATTAAATTTAAAAGTGCTTATTTTAAGTATATATTATATATCAATATTTAAGGTGTTCACTTTAAAGTATCAGTATATCTACATTTGTATATTGATATATTAAGTATGTGTTATGTAATGATTAGTAACAATAAATCGATTATTATTAATTTAAATAGATTTGATAATAATTGATTTATATTCAAATTTCGATATATATCAGTTTATCGATATATATTAATTTTGATATATATTGATATATAACTATCCTGCTAATATATATCATTATATTCTAATCAATTAATATTGATTATTTAATATATATTGATTAGTATCTATCTAAAAAATTTTCTGATAAAATATGAAATCAAGTATCTAGTAAGAAAGATAAGTAAAGTAGTAGAATGCAGAATTTGAAGAAGCACATTCAGAACAACAGCAGTAATAAAAGTAAAGAAAGAAGAAGAACAAGCATTTCCATAAGTAATTCCTTTAAGAAATAGAAAGTTAGCAAGAATAACAATAGGCAAAAAAGAAAAGGAAAAGAAAGAAGAAAGAAACCAATTTATAGCAAGATTGATAAGAATATCAAAGGGAATCTCTGAACTAATTCTACTACAAGAACTCAAAATCAGAAAGGCAATAGCAGTATACATTCCACCAAACAGATAGAAAAGATCAAGAAATTATACAGTAGTGTTATTCAAAAGCCAGAAAGATATGAATATAACTACAAAAAAGAAGGTCTGGTACAATGGAGTCTCAATGTTCTGGAAAGTCAAACCAAAAAAATTAGATGGAAAATTTTATAAAAATAGTAGCAAAGCATAAAAGATACAAAAAAAAGAAAAAATAGAAAACTTTAACTTAAAAGAAGAGTATACAGATCCAGAAAAGTATAGAAAGAAGAACAATCATACTGTATTTTCGCGTAATAACGCTCATGAGCATTAATTCGAAAATTATACACCCTAAAAATACTATAGATGGTTTCGAAATAATGCTCATGTGTGTCCTGAAATAACGCGCACCTATATAAGGTAATCATATGAAATGATTAAATATTTGGCTATAAATATCAATATTCTGATTTTAGATGCAAAATAGCTATCAGTAGTAATAAAAATTTTGATAAGTACTATATGTTATTAAAGTTGATATATAATTATTGATATTGAAAATTTATCATATATTTATTATAAAACAATAATTGAATGCCTTATATTCTTTAACTTCAATTTTACCAGCACTTTTATATAAATAAATGCTTTATTTACATTCATCTTTTCACCTCCAATTCTAGTTTCAATGGATTTTAATAATAGAAGCTTTACATTCATCTTTTTAACTTTAATTTCGCCATCTCTCATTTAAAAAGAATAATAATGTTCATCTCTTTCAATGCCAATACTCCATTTAATGAATGCCTTATTTCATCTTTTCAACTCTGGCTTCACCAAGATTTTCTATTTTAGAAGATTAATTAATGCTAATTCAATTGACATTTTCTTTTTTGGGATACAATAATTAATGTCTTATATTTATTCTTTTTGACCCCAATTTCACTAACGTTGCTATTTCAATAAATTGATAAAGAATTATTCTTTGTGGTTACTAGAATTATCAAGTTTAGAAAATTAATAAAATTATATTAATTCTAGTTTACTAATTTCCTTCACCAATTTTGGTTAGTTCTACTAATTATTTACTATCTGTGCTGATCCATTTTATAGTACTCTGATAATGAGTGGTGAAGAAAATTAGTAAACCTTATTAATTTTCCCACAAAATTGATAATGAATACTTCTGTACATTAATCTTTCAATCTTAATTCCACTAATGCTCATTATTTCAATTTAAATTCCACTAGCATTTTCAATTTCAAAAAAAAAAAGGTTAATCTCTTTTAAATCCAATTCTACAAAAAATTTTCTTTTAAATAAACTTACTAGGGCTCTGCAAGTGCTAGGTACGTACTATTAAAAATGGTGCCTGGGCCTGCCTGGCACTATGTTTTAATAGTGCCTGTGCCTGGCACTTGCAGAGCCCTAAAACTTATGTTTTTCGACTCCAATTCAACAATGCATATTTGCGATTCTTCATATTTTCTCATCATGCTCTATAAAGTTTCGTATATATCAATTAAATTTAATAATTTAAGGGCCTACTAATATCGTAATATGCTAGTAAGAGTTAGATCTCCAATTGGGTTTAAAAATATTTTCAGGTTGACCACTAATTAATTGCAATTTCTAAGATCCACAGATCACTGAGTTGCAGTTAGGTTACTATTGCAAAATATCATAATATGTCCATCAGAAGCTTTTAATCTAAGCGATCAATAGAATAAACTTCTATATTTAAAACAATGAATCGTTAAATGACACACTTAATACCACCAAGACAGAACAGCTGACAGGAGTTGGACCAGATACGCTCTGATAAATGTCAATTTAGATTGTTAGTTGCAAAGATATAAAGAAATTATATTCATTCATTATATACCATATTTGAGCACGTATCGGATTTTGCATTATATAATGATGGCTACAAGGCATTAATAAATAAAGGTTGGGCTTTTATGATATAGAGCCTTAGCATAATTGCAACACATAAATGAATTTTTTCAGACATTTGGTAATCAGTTAACTAAGTAAAAGTGATTACAGTATTGTTAATTAATTTATTTTAAGGATTTCCATAATTAAAGAAAAAACAAAGAGAATTTACCTAAAATTTTAACCAAATCTTAATCAACAGTAAATTATGATGTAACTCACGACCTCTATAACAAAATGATTATCAATCATTATTATAGCACAGTAACCCTATAAGTTATGCTAATCTTCTAATCTACCCATTTATTTTATAAAATTAAATATGCTAACTGGATTTAATATATTATGCTACTGCAAAACATCTAATTGATAATTTTTTATAAGTTGTTCCATTAATTAAAAATTCAATTGAGAAAAAAAAAATAATTAATCGCCTTACCTTTACAAATTATCAAGGTCAGTTAGAATCTAGATAAGTGACTAACGATATTGAGTTATCAAAGAAAAAATTTATATGATATAAATGTAAATTGCTCTAGAATTTATTTATTTATTTATCAATCAATTGCTACCAACTAATCAATTTCCATTACCACATATCTTTGTAGCATCTATATTCCAAGTATTTTCATTATAATAATTCAGTTCATTATTTATTTTATAATCATCTGACATACTATCGTCTAGCTCATAATCTTCTGGCTCATCATCATCCAGCTCATCATTATTTGGCTCATCATTATTTGGTTTACTATTGTCCAGTTCATCATCTGGTTCACCATCATTATGATTTGATGCTTCTTCGTCATTAATTGGCAATTCATCCAGGCAGTTTTTGACAATAGCTTTGAGGCAGTGCGACATTTTATCATCTTCGCTACTGTCAGGATTAAGTGTAAGACCCGATGCTTCGAAAGATTTGACTAAAAGATTCGGGCTAATTTCTTTCCATGTTTCCGATACCCATTCACAGACCAGCTCATATGAAGCTTTTTTTTGGTTTCCTTTCTTAGTATATATTTTTTTTCCTTTATTCATCCATTCGTCTCACCTTTTTCTCATTTCACTTTTAAAAGGTTTGTTTACAGAGACATCTGGTGGCTGCAAAACACTAGTGGTTCCACTGAATATTTCTAACACCTCCAAGCCTTCTGCATTCAATGCATTAATTACTTCATCATGATTATGGCTACGATATGCATCAACAAAAATGATATCTTTGCTTTTAAAAAATCTGTTCGGCCTGGCTCTAATAACTCATGGAATGTATGTGGAGATCATTAAATCTCTAGTCATATTTGCACAAAGTGCCATTGTTATTACGATATCTCGTGGGAATTTGACTTTGGTTTTTTTTTCAATTTAAAAATCACTGTAGGTGGGAGTTTCCCCCCAGCCGCCATGTAACCCAAAACTACTGTAAATTGTAACTTTTCATTGCCTGTGGTCTTAACCGATACCTCACGAGCACCTTTGAAATCGATTGTTGAGTCCCGTAGCATGTCAAACCACATAGGCATTTCATCGAAAGATAAAATATACTTTTTTTCAATCATATGCGTTTTTTCACGTGAAGTTTTAAGAAAATTTTTAATAATTACAGGCTTATCCTTAGAGATTTTTTGTGCTATCTGAGTTTGGGCATGTTTTACTAAATTATGTCGTTGTTTGAAGTGTTCAACCCAACCACGTGAAAATTTTATATTACTAACAACCATAACTTCACCTAAACGTTTTGCTTCTTTTATAATCATTGACGTTGTTACTGTGCCTTTTTCTTCCCTCCTTTTTTTAATATATTCTAGCAGTTCCTTCTCCAACATAGGGAGTGCTACTTTGCGACCGCGACCTTCAAGAACCTGCACTTTTTCTATATTTAAGTTTCTGTTATCTCTAATTTTTTCAAGCTCCTTTTTTTGCTTGCACCATTCTTGAACGTGCCTCCAATAAATATTATAGTATAGAGAAGCTTTACAGTTAGAGGTGTTCTCTGCATATGAGATTACTTTAAGCTTGAACGTGATAGTAAAACTTCATTTGGTATTCATATCCGCTTGTAAACAACTTGCGCACCAAACTGATAAGATAGCATTATATTTTATATCATGAACATTCATGATACAAAAAAAAAAAATAAAATTTACATACAAACTGTGCCATAATCTACTTCCAGATTTTTCAAGGCCGATGCATTACTTGGTTCAATTTTTGATAACTCAGTTGAGTCTTTAAGTGGTTCTCTGTATCTTCTCATAATACGGTAGGTTGCTCCATTTTTTCTTATTAAAGGTGTATTATCAATAATAAGGCAGCATTGTAAGTAAATTATTACAAGAATAAAGAAAGTCTTGAACAAAAATTTTGTCTTTCTATGAAGTTGAACTATTTGTTTTTTAAAAAAAAGTCATTAGGGATTTGGAAAATAGCGATAAAGTTAAATACAATTTTAAAGTGAACTGTAGTATTACATAGTATCGGGTGGATTACTGGATTATGCCAAGAAAAAACTGAAAATTACGATTTTAGAAAATTTTCACAAGAAACACCCATTATTGTTATTGTCAAATCGCCTTTCTTTTTGGATATTCTTACATAAGCCTTTTCAAACGAATTTAGTAAGTACATATAGGATCGAACATAACTGCATCGAATGAATCGGGTACAATGCACTGAAAAGTAAAAATAGTAGGTACTTGACTCTAATATCAGCCTTTTTTTTTTAAATAAAAATCATCATTGTATAGTAAAACCTCTCTAAGTGCACGCACGCAGGCCCAGAATTTAACGACGTGCACTTAGAGAACAATAAGGTGCATTTACAAAGGTCATGTATACATTTGGGCCAGAATCTGCATGTGCCTTTAGAGAGGGTGTGCACTTGTAGAGTGTGCACTTAAAGAGGTTTCACTGTATTTATGCTTTATAATTGTCGTGAGTTCAAGCAAAAAATTGACCTTTCAAGAAAAGTACTAATGCCTAAAACCAAGTGCAATTCCCTTATTTAAATAAAATCAATAAATCGATAAACTTTTTGATCAATGTCATAAGGATCTGAGAAACCATTAGAACCCAGATGTGATAAAATAGCATTTTAATAAAATAAAGAAAAAATTAGAAAGGGGAAATTTTGGTAAGTAGAATCAAATAGTTCAAATCATTAAACTATATATTAATTATAGCAGACCATTCTTAGTTCCACACTTTATTTGAAAAAGACCTTCATATTCTGTCACTTTAAATCCCTTTATGCAAAATAATATAAGCTTGAAATTATGCGTATTTTACATTCCCTATTAACAATGCTATAATAACTAAAATAGTTCTATTTTTTATAAATGAAAAATTCAGTTAAGTAAAAATATATATTTAAGCAATTTCGAAATACATTCAAAATAACTCATTCTTACTTATCTTTTAAATATAATAAAAGTTGACAGTTTGGAAATACTACTATTTATACATTTTAAACCCAACTCTACATATCTCAATATAAATTTCTATATTATAACTTTCGTCTATAGAATAATATCAAGAAACTTACTGAATTTATAAGGCTGTAAATTACAGATTATATAACGCATATAGACCTTTTATATTTATTTCAAAATAACGCACATGTATGTTATTTTGAAAATCAGATTTGGTAAAAAATTAATTTATGCTTCAAATTAACGCACATGCGTGTACTCAAAATAATGTGCATATACTCAAAATAATGCATAGATGAGCATTATTATGTGAAAATATGGTAGCACAAAACCAAGTAATAGAAGAAATAAACAAGAAATTGAATGTTATCGGAACAAAAGAAATCAAAAAGAAAATTCAGCAAGTACAGACCAAGAAAAAAAAAACTAAAAAAAGAAATTAAAAATACAAAAAAGATACAAAAACAAACATCAGATATAGAGAACATATTAGGCCAGATATTAGAAAGACTAGAAAAACTGATGATAGCTAGAGAAAGGGCATGGAAGGTCCAACCAAATTGTTTCTAAAAGTGGTATAGTTGAATTAACAAGAACAGATAAGGAACTTGAGAATTTTCTGTAAAAAGAAAGAAAAGTTTTTGAAGAAAAAATGTCATTATCTCATCTAAAAGAAAAGAAAAACAGAAAAGAAAAAGAAAAAGCAGTTAATACAGAAGTATGACAAAACCATTTAAAAGAAAAGTAAAAGAAAAAGAAAAAAGACATAAAATTTGCATGTCATAATATCAATAAATTAAAAACCAAAGGTTGGAAACTTGAAAACTTGCTCAGCTAGCCAAAAGAAGAAGAAATTATAATACTGAGAATTACTAAAATGAATTTTGCAAAAAGAAAAGAAAAGTTTTTAGTATACAAAACAATAAAAAGATATATTGGTTATTGAAGTAGTGCAGCAGAAGACAAGAAAAAGGGATCAGATATAGAGTGTTAATAAAAGAACAATGAGCAAAACATGTAGACATAGTCAAAAAGATAAATGAGTATATAATAAAAATTACACTATACTTCAAACAAATGGAATTAATAGTAATAGAGGTCTATATACTACCAAATAACAAAGAAGTAAAAAGAAATATTTAACAAAAAATAGTTAAAATTATTGCAAAGAAGAATAGATAAACACAAATTGTACTTATGAAAGACTTTAATCATACAGTGAACAATGTTCTAAATAGGCAAAACCCACAAGCTGCTAGTCACAAAAAGGTTATCATTATTTAGTTAGATAAAAAGACAAAACTTTTACAATATATACAGAAAATTGCATCCATCTGAACAAAGATACACATGGTCAAACTCAGAAACAGCAACAAGAATTGACTATACTGTATATAGGTATTAGAAGAACTGGGCTCAGGTTTACAAAGAGCAGAAATTAAAAACATAAAAGAAATTACTGAAAGTAACCACAAGATAGTAATAGCAAAAGTATGGATAAAACATATAATCGTAAAAAGTAGCAAGACAGAAGTTAAAAAAAAAAGCCAATTAAAAACAATATATCTCTATAATAAGACAAAAGAGGAAGAGTGAGAAAGTTATGCACAAGAATTACAAAAGCAATTAGAGGTTAAAGAAATTTTAAGAAACATACAAAGAGAAGAATGAGAAGAGAAAGAAAAAATACAAAGAATTAACAAAATATGAGATATAATAGAGGAGGCAATTATAATAGCAACAAATAAACATATACTGAAAAAGAAGGTTTACAATATGATGATAAACTGAAGACATAGTCAAAAAGATCAACAGCAAGAAAAAACTATCATAGAGCTCCAAAGACTAGTCAAGTATGCAAAAATAAGAAGAGAACAGAAAGTAGCAGAAGCAGATAAAAGTGAAGTGAATAGAAACCTCAAGATGCTCAACAAAAAAATTAGTGCAAGATTATCAAAAATCCAAAGGCAATAGTTTGATGCTTGGATAGAAGATATAAAAGGCTGGCAGAAAATCTTGCAAAAAAAAAAGAAAAAAGAATAGAAACAAAAACAAAGAAAACAAATAAAAGATAATATAGACAAAAGATGTGAAATAATTAAAACTAATCAAGAAAAAATGATAGCTAATTTTTTAAATAAGCCATACAAGAAAGTAACACTTAATAGAATAATTAAATGAACAGAAGAAGAAACTAGGCTAGTAATAGAAGCAGAACTAGTGAAAGAAGCAACAGTAAAATACTACAAAAAGCAGTTTAGGAAAAGAAATACAAAATTAGAAGTAATGTCAGAAAGCTGAAAAGAAATCTATAAACACAAGAGTATATCAAAGAAGAATGATATAAGAAAATTAAAAAAAAAATTAAAAAAAAAGAATAAAATAGGATAATTAGAGAGCTCAAAACAGGAATAGCCTCAGGAATATTAGAAATAAGCTATATCTTAATTAAACAAGTAGGGAGAAAAACTCAAGAGATTTTTAAAGCCTATACAAACTTGTACTTAGAAATAGGAGAAATACCAATAAAATGAAAAATAGCACAAGTATACCCAATACCAAAAGGCATAGAATAGGAATATAGTTTGAACAATATTCATCCAATAGCTCTAATTGAAACATTTAGAAAGGTTGTAACAAAGTCAATAACAAAAAAACTTAGCAAAATATTTACAAAGAGAGAAATACTTAAAGAACCAAACTATGCAGGCCTACTAGGAAACTTGACAGAACAATCTGTACATATTCTAAACATGATAATAGAAGAAGCAAGAGAAAAGAATAAAGAGGTATGAATACTTCTGCAAGATATGAAAAAGGCATTTGACTCAGTTTCACTTAAAAGTTTTGAGCTAGCCTTACAAAAAGTCAAAATATCCAAAAAGACAATTAAATATATTCTAAACCTTTTTCATAAAAGACAACTTAAAATAATTACAGCATATAGTCTGACAGAAAAAATAATAGCTAGTAATAGAATAGATCAAGGTGAAGTAATATCACTACTAATATAATGCCTTTTCTATAACCTGCTATTAGAAAAGATACAGAAAGATAAAAAGTTAGGCTATATAATAGAACAAAAGGTTAAAGAGAGATATACTGTAACAACATTACAAGTTATCATAAAGCAGCAATTGCATATGCAAATAACACAACATAAATTGCAAAAAGCAAGAAACAACTGCTAGAGATTTTAAAGATGGCAGAAGACTTTTTTAAAATGAATAATATTGAGATAAACAGATCTAAATCAAAACTAATAATAATGAACAGAAAAGTTAAGAAAGAAGAAAGAAAAATAAATTTTGAAGAAAGCAAAATAACAGAAGAGCCAAGAAACAAAATAGTATGTTTATTAAAAATCTGGCTAAACAACAAAATATGAGAAATCTTAGTAAAAAAGAAAGTAAAAGAGATAATAAGCCAGACAATAAAAGATCTTAAATATAAGAAAACAATGATGAGCCAGATAGCATATATAAACAATATGATAATAATATCAAAATTAAGCTATATGTTGCAATTAACAAGGATATCAGAAAAGAGGATAAATAAAATACACTAACCAATGATATATTTAGCAAAACAAAAAAGTGGCTTATCAAGAATATTAGAGAATTGTACAATAGAATACAAAGAGCTTAGTAGTTACAGAACATTGCTAGTTGCAGAATGTTGTGACAAGAACTAATAATGAAACAAATAGAAGGCTTGATAGTAAGACTAAACAGAAAAAATGAACTAGAGCAGCTAACAAAATTGAAAATAATGTAGGGTTGTCAAAAAGCAAGGCTAATAGAAGACATATAAAAAGTAGAGAAATTGCCAGAAAACAAGTTATATTGAAAGAACAATCTAGTCTGTTTAATGATAACTAAAGTAAAAGAGTTAGGAATAAATATAAGTACACAAAGTAAACTATGAACAACAAGTGGCTATGGTCTTAGAATAATTGAACTAATAGAACCATAACTATAAAAAAGAAGTAGATTCAAAATAAATGAAGCAGGACTAATATACCTAAATCAACTACTTGACACAAAAGGAGAAAAACTAATAACATAGCAGCAATTCAAAGCCTATCAGAATCAATTAAGCAAAGACAAGAAAGCAAAGTGATTCAAAATGATAGAGACAAAAGTGCTTAACAAAATTGAAAACAGAAAAGTTAAGAAACAATTTAAAACAGGCAGATATAATATATAAGCAATGAAGATCAAGTAAAAAATTCTGTCAAATGATAGAAGAAAGAAATAATGGATAATACATAGTGCAACAGAGGATAGACAAATAGAAAAAGTAGTTAAAAAGAAAAAGAAGAAACTAGAAATAGAACATTGGTGAATGCACAACATAGAAAATTATTTAATAATAAAAATTAATAAATGCAATAGGTGTTTGAAAAAAGAAAAAACAGAAAGAAATAGCTGTTAATATTGAATAAAAATTAACAACAAAGTAGACACAGTTCTAGATACACTAATAGAAAGAAATAATAATATAATTAAGGCAGCTACTGACCAATTAATAGGACATATGAGAACAGAAAAACTGAGAAAAAATAAACAGAAACTAATAGGACTAAAAGTTCTAGAAGGTCTAGAAATAGAATTAATTAGAAAACAAAAAGTAAGGGAGAATGTTAGTCAAGAGCTAGTAGAAATCTTAAGAAGAAATATATTGAGAGACAAAAACAAATACTCAATATATATGATTCTATTTTACAAATTTAGTCAAAACATAAAATCATAAATAACTCAACAAACAGTATAGAAAACATACAAAAAAGCATTAAGAAAAAAGAAGCAGAC